CTGTGAAGCCTGAAATGTCTCTACTTGCAGAGAGTGTGTGTGTGGTGACTGACTTGTGAATGTATGCAGACAAGATGTGTGCCTTTCCTGTGTGTGCACATGAAAGTGTGAGCACACTGATGGGGTGTGTCAATATACAGCTGCATATCTGCTTGCTGCACTCTCTAACATCTTGCAGGTGCAATTTTGTGGGAAATGTGTTGTTTTTACAAGTTTACCTATACACTTTTATTTCAAGACTTTGTGAATGACTATTTCTTCATGATCCAGTAAAATAAATAATAAGACCTAGCATTGTATTTGAAGAAGGGAAGCAAATGACAGTGCAGCAGAGTAGATAAATACCCTTTTTATGGAATTAAGTGATTAATTCAGGAACATGTAGCTCTACTCTATGCAGCCTTATACAGTACGTTTACTTCATTGCATTGAAGAGGTAGATACCGTCCTTTCTCCTTCAATACATTTATTTGACAGCTATAGTTAATAGTTACCTTGTAAAGTTAATATTTTACGTTAACAAGACTATCCCACCATGTCCACTAACTTTCTGCACGTCAACCCGTCTACCTTCAACTATACTATACAATTGAAGTAAAATAGTTTAAATGTATTTTTAAAACATCTGATAATTCTATAAAAAATGTTGTATTGTATTGTAATTGGTTGAACTACCCAACAGAAAATAAAGTAGTTAGAGGTCCATGTCAACCACTTGAACCATTTTAATCCAACTCCCAAAGTAATGTGTTAAAATATGTAAAAATAAATATTAAGATAAAATAAGATCATCAGTGGTTCCTGAAGTGGGGGATTTAAAGATAAATACGAGGGGTCACAAGATGTTTTTTTAAAAGAGAAAACAAACATATCTATTATTTAAATGCATGTTGACTTTTCCACCATTTTCTTTGTTGGTTTCCCTGTAAAATACTGTATATCGAGAGTATTTTCAGCGCATTGTTAATCTTTTAAATAAAACAATATATGGAGGAAAAAGACTCAGGACTTTTGCTTTCAGCTTAAGTTGACCTGGAATTGTTTTAACTCTGAAAAAGGCAATTACCCTCCATCAGAAGTACTTGCATGAGTTGAAATTGAGTATATTAACATAGTACTGGAACTTAAACTTAAGTAAAGGATCATAATAATGGACATCTATAGTCCTGGCGTCATTTTTTACCACTCTGACTGTTCACTTGCATGTGTTCTTTTGCATGTCTATTTTTATAAAATAATATATGCACATAATTAGCTGTGCCAACACCAGCTCCTTCCACTTTACGACTCCCCCATGCCCTCTTGCACTTTCCCGCTTAGTTCCTTACTGTTGTAGGTGAGCCGTGTTTTGCTGAAACACATGAGCAGGTGTTTCTCTATTTCATCCGACGCCATAAACTTGGAGCAAACAGGACAGTGGAATCCTGTGGAGGAAAACACAAAGACAAGACCATGAGCACCCAGATGTCTCCGATACGTTTTTATTGATATGTAAACAACAGAGAGAGAGGGCGTGGGACAGTTGTGGATAGGATTGATCTTACGCAGACCTGCATGACCTCATACCTCCAGGCACTACATATCTAACCGTCTGCTTTAAGTAATCGGTTACAATCTGCTTACCTAATCATAAAATCATCCTGTTTATAAACTAAGTGCAAACATTTCCTGGAGAGAGGTCTTAATATTCAAATTAACAATCTATTCATAATTGAACCCACATACACAAAGCTTTATAGGCCAGGAGCTGCTTGACCTGAGATAAACTAGCCTCCTATTTGCCCTTTTTCCACTCAGTCAAGATAGGGGACAACAAATGTGTTATCTCGTTGCCTGATGTGAACCTCATGTTTGAGTAATTTGTTTTCGGACACAATGACAGGCCTGCAGGGTCTCAATCACAAGACTCTGAGGAGCAAAGGTTATTGATGATCTTATTAATGATTTACTTCCTCATTTGGGAAATTACCTGTGGCCAGTGATCAAAAGGAAGGGGAGTATTCAGATGTAGATTTATTGACCACGTTATGAAACACAAGGAAACTGGAGCATTTACGAGAACTGATTTAAGGATTCAGTAAACACTAGTGAGATATTTAGTTAAGAAGTGTTTGTTGATAAAAAATAATATGGATGCTGGAGTGCTGAAACCGTATTAGTCTTATTTTGTGTTGTGGTCTGGTCTAGAGACACAACACCGGTTGAGAAACAGCTAGACTTGCAGATTCAGGAAGTCTGTGTGTGTGTGTGTGTTTTGTGTGTGTGTCAGGCAATGTGTAACCAGCAGGAAGCTCTTATCTGCTGACCTACATAATGCACTCTTCCTTCTCAGTGAAAAACAGGCCAGTTTTTGCGAGACAGAGAAGAGAGTAACGGCAGTACAGTACAGCTGAACCACCTGTGGCTTCAATAAAAGTGCAGAGGTGCTAAACAAAGGGCTCAGTCATCAGACTGCTATTACCATATGCCTGGTATCATATGTCAAATGGAAAAATACTAAGTGATTTTGACAGCAATTGTGACATCTTGTCACAAAAATGTATGATATCCTACAAGAACTTACATGTTGACTCTGAACTAATACTGAGTGCAATGAAATGAAAAATTACAGTTAAGCAACATGTGTGGAAAAAAATGGCCGTTGGGGAGATAAGAACAAAGTGTACCAAAGAGAACAGACATCCTTGCTCTTCTCTTTTTCTGTATACCACATTCATCTGAGGGTCTGTGGGGTTTGGACTGTCAACGCAAGACATTTAAAGACATCATCATGGCCTTTGAGAAAATGGCATGGCATTTTTCGAAATATTTTCTGACATTTTGTTTAACCAAACTATTGTTATAAACCATAACCCCCAGATTAATTGCTAATTAAAACAACTAGTTAGTTGGATTCCCAGCACTATTGTGTCTCTACTTACTGTAACACATAAAGCGTACTTCAGGAACAATAAGGAAACAAGGAAATTAGAAAGTGTCATAAAGGCACTGAGTAGCAAATGGTATCACTGGGATGGCTTTGTTTGTACATTGTGGAGTCACTGTTAGGACTTTGTCTAGAGCTGCCCTCTCTTATGGTCGACAATTGTTTGTTATTCAGTCATATTTGTTCTTTTTTTGTATTGCTTTCTTCAGACTTCTTTTCAATAAACTTTTAGGCACATCTTTGGTAAACAAAAATATCAAACTGATTCTTCTGCACGACTCTTTGTGGAGTTTTCATCTCAGCAGATTAAATCAACTAATCGATAGTCCCAGAATAATACGAATTTCTTGTCGATATTCGGTCCAATCTTACCTCCCAGCAGGCGAGGGGACAGGTGAGCCGGGAGAGAGCCGACCAGCAACCTGTGGCCCTCCGGAGACAGCTCGCCTTCCTCGTCACCATCCGGGCCATCGAGGCTCTGATTGAGAACATGCGACCCTGACCTGCCACTGGTCGGAATACTGAGTCCGGAGCTGGTTGGACCCCCACTTGTGTATCGGATCCGAGGGCCATCTGGTCCATTAGTGTACCTAAACCCAGCGATTCTGCCTCCTCCGCTGGAGTTTCCAGATGGGAGATCAGAGCTGGAATAAGCCCGAGTTCTGCCATCAAATACCGGGTTGCTCTGTTTGGCCCCCATGCTGTGTCAGTCTCACCTCCACAGGTTGTGTGTGCGATTTAAAGTGTTTAGCCACGAGACATGGTGACTTCTGAAACACTGACAGCAACAAAGGAAATAAAGCCGAGTATGTGCACAACAACAAAGGCGAGGTGATCCAACATGTTAAAGTTTCACGTTGAGCCTTGTGCGTAAAGTGCGCAATCACTTACGCATAACTTAATTTCCAAATGGTTGTTTTTTTTTCTTAGCAGAGCCCTTCCCTTTTTTTTTTCTTCCAACAATGGAAAAAATGTCTTCAGATAAAAGCCTTCAGTTGCTCCACTTCAGACTAGCGCATCAGAGCAAGTGCCCCACAGTTCGTCTGGTTAACATTTGTTTTTGTGCTCAACTGTGGCCGTCTGGAAAGAAAAATAAAAGCAGGGATTGCCCTCCTCCCCCAGTGAAGCAGCTCCATCAAACTACACGTAGTTAACCGGGACATTATACACTCGCCTTCAAAGTAAAAGCAGTGAACACACCACTTGTGCAAAACATGTGTTTACAAACTGTAAAAGTAAATGTTATAGTGAAATAAATTCCATGTTTTTAAAATATCATACATCAAATAATACATCAGTGTATTATTTAAAACCATAAACTACTTCCTACTAGTTAGACCTAAAGTGTCTTCAGCCACCTATTATCACAAGATGTTAGATACAAAAGAAAAGCCTGGCATATTTAGGTTAAAAAAATCCCCTTTTACTTAATGCTCTGTAGACAATGAGTCTTTAACACTACAATACATTGTCACAAAGGAGTTTAAATATTCTGTTTTCCTTAAATGCCCCTTTGTGCTCTGACTGAATGTGACTGAAATTACTGAAACTTAAAAAATAATAACTAGAGACTTTTGAGGGTTGTCTGATTATTCTCACAAAAAGTGGAACATTTAATGGTCAGTTCATCCAAAAATTAACAAACTATAACATGAATTGCACAAGGACTTCTTCCACGAGAGATGTGTAAAATATTGTTCTATGTGATTTATGTCTTTTAAAAGTCCTCTGCAGATATAGATACACATCTTCAATAGGCTACAGTTTGCTAGTCTAGTATTTTGCTTTTGTAAGTAGTTCAGAAAAAGCTACCACCTTTTTAGCAGATACAATGTGTGCTTTTACTTTGAAGGCCTTCCTGTAGCTTCCTGTCTGCAGTAACCCGTCTCCAGCTTGACGCAGCCTTGACGGTGAGCGTCAGGTGGCGCGTGACGTCAATCCCAGCAACACCAGCGGGCTGTTGGCAGAGCAGCAGGTCACCAGCCCACTGTGATACCAAAAACCCTACATGTTTGGCGCTTTGTCTTCCATTAACTTGGGTAACTTGGGTAAATAAAGAAACATGCTCGAGGAACACTCTGTTCACACGGTTTATTCAACAATTCCACACACATCGGAGGACAAACAAAAGATACACTGCATGGTAACACATTAAAATAAAAAAGGACTAACATTTACAAGCCAAAGAAAACAGGCTAAAGATGAATCTCTGAAAACAGTCTTGCATGTGTGCTTGAAAGGCGAGGAAGCGTTGCGGTGCGCTGGATGTGACATACAACAACACACTGTGAGATAAGAGATAACAGGGCAGGCAGAAGGTGGCAGGCAACAAATATTATCTCCCCCCATGTGATATCATTTAGGGAATTAGGTGTGCACTTTATGCTTAAGAGAAAACGATAAATTCAAAAACAACACCCGCCAAAACAAAATTGTGGCTAGATTTGGGAAGTCATTATAACTGTGCTAAGAAAGAAGGGCACACTGTGAACAAGCAGGAAGACTACAGGACAGAAGGGTGTCATGTGACAATGAGCCCGGGGAAGGGCTTAAGCTGCAGCATGGGCCTTTGTTGTGATGGTCATATGATAGTAACATTGATTAAAAACGTCCTCATTACGTGACTCTTTGAGGTGCACTGCCTTTGAAACATTAAGAAACCTCAAGAAATGATCCATGCTACTGTAAAGCCGCACACTTTGATTTCCACATGAGGTGTAAAAATGCTTTTTTTACTGTAATCTATGCGACTATTTTAACCATGTATTTAAAACTAGTTTTAGAGCTGCCCCATCTGAATATATATCACAGCTACACATCCCTAAGTTCACTGAAAAAATAAATGTATTATGTCAACACAGTTATGTGAAATCTGTTGACATAACACATTTAATTTAAGTCAACTTTTCAGTTTTCTCAGTGTCGTCTTGTTTGAAGTGTAAAACTTCCCCTCCTTCCTCCTCTCCCCCTCTTTTTATTATTTTCTTTCTCTAAATCTGCGTCACTGCAGTTGCCTCACGTAGCCACAAACTGTCAGTTTTTTGCCCGTTCGTTTTTTCAGCTAGCTCTCGTGTATCCTCTGTGTCAACAGACTGGCAGAGAAAGTAGGTTATCGGTCACATTCATCTCCAAAGTCACGGGGGAAGTGTGTGTGTGTGTGTGTGTGTGTGTGTGTGTGTGTGTGTGTATTGCGGTAACATCTTTCTGTTTTTCTGCATAACAAACCCAGCTGAGGCTGATGTAATATTGCTGTGCTGTGGAACTTTAACTAACCAGATGGTGAATGATTATGATACTTGCATTGTACGTGGCTACTGCTCACGTAGCCCCAATGTGTGTGTGTGTGTGTGTGTGTGTGTGTGTGTGTGTGTGTATGTGTTTGGGGGGGGTCAATACAGTGCAACAGAGTGCACTCTTTGGGAAGCAAAGCCACTGACATTCAAGAACATGGTGGTGCATTTTTAGCAAGTTGGCCGTAAGTATGTGTATGTTTGGATTAGAGTGTAAGTGTTTTGGGCTGATGAGTTGAGGCCCGGAGCAGCTCTGCCCCAGCTGCAGGCCTCGTCTCGGGGTTTCATCACTGCTGGCTGACCCCCATCTGCTGGTGGTCCGGCCCCGGTTCCCCCTCCATGTCAGCGTGGTAGTGCTCAAAACTGTCGTCCTCTATGTCTGGCAGACCCAGCAGCTACAGTGACAGGGGAGGGAGGAGAAGGTTGTGTTAAAGGTTGTAAATTAAAGAGGTGTGTGTGTGTGTGTGTGTGTGTGTGTGTGTGTGTGTGTGTGTGTGTGTGTGTGTGTGTGTGTGTGTGTGTGTGTGTGTGTGTAATAATAATAATAGACAGAGTTTGAGAGTTTGGTCTACCATCAAAAAACAACAGTGATTACAAATGTGTGAAAACACTGAATGAAGCTATTTCACGTTCAAAATCAGTGTTTCTTTGGGCTTTCTGGCTGTAACTTACTGCTTGGTCAAATTGATGACAAAGTCCTGTGACTACAATCCTTTATCATGTTGAAATATGTTGTCAAACACATACTAAATCCAAAAAATAAAATTGTATCACAAAATGAGTCTTAAAACTGGATAAAAAGTCCATTGATTATACCTTTCCGACAGACACATGCTTATGTGAGATACGCCACCATTACATACGACCAAATAAAAAAAAAGGGACTTTCTAGATTTGAAAGTTATTTGTAAAATGTGGGAAAATTATAGTACGCAACTTAACAAAACACATAAAATAGGTCTAGTTGTTTTCAGAACTGAAATGCTGGAATATTAAGTATTGATGTGCAGTGTTGGGTGTAACGCGTTACAAAAGTAACGGAGTTACAGTAATGTATTACATTACTTCGTTACAGCAAAAAGTAACGCATTACTAATGAAATTTGGGTAATATACTACCCGTTACAATTCTCAGTAACGCAGTTACAACACATTTTAACCCGGAATTAAATGGTGTTTTGTTTTTTAAGAATTCACTAACATCGCGAGACATTCCGACACCAGAGAAAAATTGTGCGGGTAGATTAGTAAACCTGGTGTTTACCCTTCTGTCGGGTGTTCTTTTCCCCATAATGACCGCCTCACTGCACATTATCCCGCTTATTACATGGCCATACTAAACAAACTACAGAGCTCATTCCTTGTTCCTGTTATTGTTTACTTCCTCTCTGTCTTCTTCTGATGATTTATCTGACGTCCAGCGCTCCGTCTTTTAACCTCTTTTCCTTTCTCTTTCTTGATCCTCCTTAGCAACCTTCATTATAGTCCTTGACAGTGGTCTGTACTACTGTATTAACAACATGTCACATGTTAAGAATGTACAATCAGAATCGAGTATTCAACTAAGCCGTGTAATAACAGTTGTTAGTAGCCTTAATGGCCTACACAGTTGTTATGCTATACCACATTGCCCTTCACTGGATGTATAATGAGCTGCACTAAACTACATTTTAGCATTTAAAATACCTAGCCCTTCTTTTGAGGTTATTTTGGTAAAGTAACAAGTAATACAAAAGTAGTGTAACTCATTACATTTCAGAGACAGTAATATTGTAATGTAACTTATTACTTAAAAAAGACAGTAATAAGTCATATGTACTATATTACATTTTGGAAGTAACTTGCCCAACACTGTTGATGTGTATGAAACTGTAATAGTATTACCCTTAAATGTCAAGACGAGAGTTCACAAAAGACCATAATAATGGAAGGAAACAATAAAAAGTCTGAGCTGTGGGTGGGGTTGTACATGTTTTGTCTGCAGCAGAGAGAACAGAATGTATCAGGGCTGTAACAGACAAAGTGAGCAGAGGTCAGCGTGTGTTGTTGCAGCATGTTTTCTTACAGGCCTGAAGGACGTGAAGACTTTCTCCAGCACCTCCAGGAGAGTCTTCTTCCCGCAGGAGGAGATGTAGTCCTGGGCCAACTGTAGGAAGGGAAGGCAGTCCTCACTCTCACTCCACACGTGCTGCAGACAAAAGATGAGAACATATTATTATGCTTTTTGGGGTTTTCCCTTCCCTGCAGTGTGTTATAAAGGTTGTTGTGCATGAAAATGGTCTGCAAATGCTGACATTTCACAGGTTTTCTCCCTATTCTGGATTGGACTCCTTTGTTTACTTCTTTAACACAATGACATCCATATGTAACACTTGCACTTCTATTGGCTAGCACTCCAACACATTGTACGTGATAGGCTAAGGAGCGGGACATCTCTAAGCGGTTGACCAATCTCAACAGAGCCAGCCAGCTAACCAATCAGAGCAGACTGGGCTCTGGTTTCAGACAGAGGGTGAAAAGAGGTGCTGCAGCACAGAAAGTATGAGAAAAATAAAGAGCTTTTTGAACATTAAAGCATGGAGACATGTCACAGTATAGAGGCACAAAATACAATTATAAGCCTGAACATGTTCAATCATAATATGTCCTCTTTAATGCAAGTGTGCTTCATGATTAAACTATAATAAGGGTAAACCAATATGAGCAAACATTACATGTATTTGGGTAAAAGAAAGAAGAGTATCTTAAAGCCTAAATATCTCGAGGTAAGACTGTTTCCCTTCATGTAATAACATTAGAATTAACTAACAATGTGTCATATTGTTACACTAGATACAACAGTCCAGCTGTATAGTGACGTACAACGTTCAGGATTTCACCAGTAAATATGTAAAGCTGGGTCAAGGAAAGTGCAGCACAGCAAAGAAACTAGAACAAAGCAACTAAACAAGATATATGTGTTTTTCAAGGACATACAGTAGACAGGAAAGACTATCACAAAACATTCAGGTTTTTTTTTTTACACTCAGATACACAAAGTCCTGGCTGTTGACTAACAATAACAAGCATGACAAGTAGTTCCTGAATCAATCTGATACAAGGACTTTATATAGCATATGATGATAGTTTTTTTAGGTCCGATTGCTAGATAATATGTTAATAAATCAGCGTGAAATCATAAACTCCTGTGAATCTACAAACAGACCACTTTATTTATGATGAAACACAACATCATAAAGTTTAAAAATAGTTAAGTGTTATTTCGCAAATAAGACAACAAGGCCTGTCACAATAATCAAGTTATGTTGTGTCATTGATTTGTAATTTATTTACGCTATCAACTTATCGTATCATTTAGAAACATGAGTTTATTTTTTATTTTTTTGACTTATCTCAATAATGTTCACTTTATCATCTTATTGCACAATGTATTGATGTGATGTGATGATAACCCCTTTAAATTGGCCAAACATAAAAATCAAAATGCCTTAATGTGTTAAAATATGTTAATATATGCATCAATTACTTAAAATCCCATTAAAACCCGTAATTTCATGAATATTAGTGGGTAAATGAATGGAATTTTAAACTAAAATTAATAATTCAGTTTAAATAACATGAAGGGACCCACCTTCATGGTATAGTTTTAGGAGTCATGTGAGAGTCATGTGGACCAGGCAGGGGAAATTGTTTTCCCAGTGTTGCAAACAGGCCACAGATTGAGCCCTGTCCCTGCTCAGGGATGTTAGTTCCAGTTCCAAACCCAATCTCTCCGCAGATCTTACAACCGTTCTTGTTTTTCAGATGCTAAACACTGAATCACCTGACCATGACTGAAACTACAAAGCCCTGAGGGAAATCAAAAAGCTGGAAAACAGTGATGATGTGCAGCTGCTATAATGGTGGGACTGATTTCACAGCGCCCTCCAGTGAGAGGACGGTAGAGGGTTTGGAGGGGAAATCAACATACATTGAGTACTGTGTGTGTGCGTGTGCGTGTGCGTGTGCGTGTGCGTGTGCGTAACATCCTGCTGATCGCAGTAATGATCCAGCAAGAGTAACTGAATCTCAACAGTCCTGCAGAGAGACAGAAAGTTATTCACGCCGATTTGAGAGTGCATAGCAGACTGAGAACTCTGTGTGTGTGTGTGTGTGTGTGTGTGTGTGTGTGTGTGTGTGTGTGTGTGTGTGTGTGTGTGTGTGTGTGTTTCTCCATTAGTGTCCATTAGTGTCAGGGCTGCAGCATTTAACATGCATTAAACAGAAATAAATGGAGGGTCGTTTTGGGATAGAGTGAAATAAAAGGACGGAAAATACTAAATGAAGTTGAGACAACCACATCATGTATTTATGCACATACATTGGGCTGTGTGTGTGTGTGTGCGTGTGTGTGTGAAACTAATGATATCCCCATTAGGATGGTTTGATTACACAACAGCTGGATTTACACTCATCTATGTTTCTCCAGCAGCAGCCATGGGAAGCCCCTTCTGTCTGCAGGACAGTCCAGACTCCCAACACACCGTCTCTGTGACATAATGTGTTATTGAGTGAACAGACACCCTGGCTCCTGGGTCATCTCCATCTGCTCTTCAACCCTACGCCCTGTGAGCCCATGTCACTGAGCAGGAGGAGGGGGAGCAGGGCGGGTCCGGCCTTGGGGGCTTTAGGGCTCACTGCAGCACGCTGGTCTAGAGTGTATGGCTCAATATACAATATATAGTGTCAAGAAGTACTACTACTGAAGACACTGAGCTCATATCGTTCATACTGTGTCTGGATTTATGGGGGTTGTATACATTTAAGGTGCTTAAGTCTGTCCCTATTACTTTGGCCTATGCATGTGGCTGTTTTGGCAAACAACTAAGCCAAATGAAGGGATCTGTTTGGCTATTACTACTATATTCCAGTGTAGGGAATTTAGAGAGACATATTTCAGACCGTCATGTTAGAAGATTATACAGCTGAACAGCATCAAATATCTACATTTGGTTGTTTACTTTATTTCTTCTTTGGCGACATTTATAGTGGTTTTACTGGAATAATTTGGATCCGAGCAGAAGACTGGCAATAGTTCCTTCAAAATAATGATGTGAAAATGCATCCCTTGTTAATAATTCACTTTATGTGTACAGAGCATCGACCTTTAATTACATATTTAGTGGGACAACTATGGAGACACACTAGTTTAATATTCGTTTGAGTTGTTTGACAGCAAGCATTGGCCTCCACTCAAAAATGCATGTAATTTAAATTAAATGTTTAGAGAAAAGCAGAATAACCTATATATCCCCTCAGATACATATATTTCTCCATTTGAATTTGACAGGCCCTGTTTGTGCTCAAAATGCAACATGGTGGTCTGCAGGGCTTTTATTTTGAAAGTGACAGGCCTGGTGTTTTCTCTAACCTGGCTAGCATGACGGTGCTGTGGTTCAGAGGGTTATCGCAGTTGATAATGGAGGAAAAAACACCATCGACAGAGGGGTGGGTGTGCATCCAAATTTAAATGACATCATCGCCCAAAACCCCCACTTCCCTTCCCTTCCTCTGCTCTCCCATGTCCATCAACAAAACCGAGACAACCCCACCTCCAACCCACCCTCGACACACCTACAATAAAACACACACACACACAGACACACACACACACACCACAGAGTGAGGGCCCTGCAGACACTTACGAAACTGTCGTTGCCTCCGGGACACAGCACGTAGAAGGAGACGCCGGGCTCTGCGTAAAAGTCCAGCCGCCTCTCGTCGTCCTCCTCGGCGAATATGAGGTCGAAAGGGTTACCGGAGCACCACTTCTCCGCCGCCTCCACCAGATGCTTGAACTCCATCCTCTGTTATCCGGTTCTGCGGTGGTGGTGTCCCTTGATCTCGATCTTTCACGGCGATGATGCTCAAGACAAAAATAACAGCTGATCGGAGAGCAGCATCAGCAGCAGCCTGCACTACCTACCGCATCGCCTCTTTACGCACTGTCTGCATGGCCCGGGTGTGAAGATAATAATAACACTGATGGTGCAATTTATAGCCTACCGGGTTCTGGTGCACATCCGATCTCACTGCCCCATTCCTCTCTTCATCTCCCCACGTTATGAAGTCAGCCCGTCGGTCGCATACATGCATACGCAGGAGGACGCTGGAAAAAACGCGATGACGAATAGTGGAGCCGGGCAGCCGTCCATAAGCGAGGCGAGGCCTGCTGCCAACACTCACTGTTACTGAGTTACTGTGTCACCTAACTTGCTGCTGAGCTGACTGCATGACGGAGGAATCCTATTGGCAGTTTGACATTATGCATTATAGAAGCATTATAGAAGCGTATATAGCTATGTACAGAGCTATGTGATATGCAGAAACATACTTGTACGAGGCACAAAAGGATCAGTTCACTAATATCACAAATATCTAAATAGATTTTAAATTGTAGCTTCAAAGTCAAATCCGTATTGGCTTTACTAGCTTTTGATATGCCCACACTTTGAACTCCAGTTGTTTGGTGATATTTTTGATATTTTCATTAAAAAATCGATAAAATGTTCCCAAGCTCCACTCTGAAAATTGTCTTTTTTAATAGCTCTTAGATTAAAAAAGAATAATTGGAACGCTACCATGTCAGCGATGAACTATCCAGCTGAGACAAAAAAAGGATATATCAATAAAATAATAATAATAATAAATGTAATATGTGAATGTATTATTTTAAGATAAGATCAGATAAAAAAAAAAACGTACTTATCACTAAAGCAGTAATAGCCATAAGAGTGAAACACAGGCCCTCAGATAAGAGTTCACACCCCACACAGGAATACCTCAAATACACATTTAATTTGAATATAAGTATAAAATACATTTCAAAATTAAAATGAGTTAGTTTAAAAAAAAAATGAAATATATGAAAAAATTCTATTATCATGTCTTACCCTTGAGGACTTCAAATAACTCATTTAATGATCTTGAGTCAACACAACAGGGAGCTAAATAAACACAGCAGTGTTTACAGGAATGAAGCCCCCCATCAGCTCCTGTCTGCCCTGCCTGCTCCTCTCCACCAGAGGGCGCGAGAAACCAACTCACAACTCCAAGCTGGAGCAAGAAAGCTCGCGATATTTACCTTCAATAGGACCTTTAAATGTGAGCGTCTGTCCTGTCAAAACAAAAGCCTAATTTAGGGAAAAGTTGGGTCGTCAAAAGAGCTATAGTAGATACATTACATCTAAAGAACATTATCTAAATGGCAAGTATTTTAGTACAACAACAAGTAATATTCAATTCTAAATATGCTGATTGCAAATTATGTTAAACCCTGCATATTGATTGTTGAATACTCAACATGACGGGATGTGGCTATTTTTTTTATTGTGATGATCAAATAGATTCATTGTTATGTCCTTTAACAACTGGTTGAAACAATAAACAGGCACTTTGTGTCAGTTTGGTGTTGATGCTCAATCCGTGCTGTTGAATCCAAATTTAGAAAAAGGCCCTGTGTGGCCAACATTATGCAATTAGGTCTTGTTAATGGAAGGTTCATCTCCTGAATTGACATGAAACAGGCCTAAAAGTAGGAAAATCCCCCAAACGTATTGACACCATTGAGACTGTACCTTCAATCCATTGTTTCTTTGTTTTAAAAAAATCTAAGAGGTATTTCTTTTGTTATTTAGCTGAACATATACATGCTTAAAGCAGCCATTTGGGGTATTTCATTAGTTTAGCCTGCTGGGGCTGGGATCGAACCACCAACCCTCTGATTGGTATATCAGCGCATTAACAACCCTAAGCCCAGGACGCTTGTTTGATAAGGTTTTTAAACAGATTTTGATATATTATCATGTCATAGCCTGCCCAATTTCTGACATGCAAGTCTACTGCCACCCCAAACATGCTTTTATTTTGAAAGTCCACACCAGAAGTAGTGTCATTCATCATTTCAGTGAGTTTACTTTCGTTTCCACAGTGCCGCCTCTCCCTGAGGTTGTGCTCCTCCACAGTGAGTGTCGGGTCTCCCAGCGGTCAGACGCGTTCCTCTGAGGACACACTGCGGACTCTCGCACCCCTTTAACTGAACCTGAACAAAGCCTGCACCATGCACTGCGCTCAGTTTAAAGGTTAGAGAGGGAGGATCACCGCTGGACGACCCTGCTGTCCAGCACCCCGGGGGTCGCGCTTTGTTCGCAGTGAAGACCCACATTTTCTATCACCCAAAATAAATCTCCAGAAACCCTGAAAATGGATCCTTTACAAAATGGGAATAACTGTGAGGAGGAGGAGGAGGAATCGCAATGTCCCGAGCAGGAAGAAGTAGATCCAAGAATCCAGGTGAGGTTAGAAAATAAGTAAATGGGATCCAGATGTTGCCTCCAGTGAAAGTGACATGGAGATACAAATGGGAAGCCCGGTGAAAAGTAGTCAAGTTGTGTTAAATATTGTTAAAAAGATGTTAGCCTTATTTAGTAAAATATATAAACACTCAGGGAAAAGTTCAATAGTACTACTTTATTGCAATATAAGCATATAAAAGCATTGCACTTAAAAATAATTCACTCTTACCTAATGCAATGTTCTGTTCAGTCATGCCATAAAATCTAATATAATCTTCGATAGATTAAATTAAGAATAGTGTTCCCTTTAACACCACACACACACACACACACACACACACACACACACACACACACACACACACACACACACACACACACACACACACACACACACACACACACAACCACACCACACACACACACACACACACACACACACACACACACACACACACACACACACACACACACACACACACACACACACACACACACACACACACACACACACACACACACACACACACACACACACACACACACACACACACACAACACACACACACACACATTCTGCATGCAGAGTAATTTAGTAAACAGAAAGCACACAGTAACTTCTACACTCAGGGTCTGTGTTAACCATTCTCTCTCCTCCCTCCCCCCCCCCAGGGAGAACTGGAGAAGTTGAACCAGTCCACAGATGACATTAATCGCTGGGAAAGTGAACTTGAGGTAAGACTAAACACCAACACGATTGCCTCTATCATCAGCGACTCTCCCTGCTGGGGTAAACACCTTCCAGTCATGGCTTGTCTGCAGAAACACTCATCTCAAGGAGCCATTACGTCTCGCTTTCCAACATAAAATCTTACTTGAAATAAGCATGAAATCCTGGCCCTAGCAACGAGGTCATTGCAGGGAAACAGTTTACACTTGCAAACACGGAAATGTTCTAAAAGAGGGAGCTGCTTCTCTGGGAAAATGTGGAAAAACTGAAGCAGCGACTGTCGATCTTCCTTAATAACACACTGCGCTGCACTGTACTGTATGAACTGTGAGCAGTGGGGGAGGAAGTACTCAGATCTTGTACTTAATTAAGTAAAAGTAGCAACACTCAATTGTAATAATTCTCTGTTATGAGTAAAAGTACTGCCATTAAATAGACTTCAATTACAAAAAGTAAAAGTTCTCGTTATTCATAATGGCCCAGAATCAAATAAGTACATTATTGGATTATGATTATTGATGGCATTCATGTTTTTATCACAATATGTACATTTGGAGCTAATTTGAATGACCTCATATATGGTTTCTGGATTTCTTCACCTAAAATGTAATCATATTGTAAATGTTTACTTATTAGTTCATTTATAGTTTGATTTGACTAATAATCTAAATCTATAAAGTAAGCTGCCAAATTATGTAGGAAAGTACAATATTGGCTGCTAAAAATTGAGTAAACGTAGCATTTGTAAGTTACATATCATTAAAAGACTCAGGTAAAGTACAAGATCCTCACATTTGGACTTAAGTACTTGAGTAAATGTATTTTATTACTTTCCACCACTGACTATAAGTGCTACAAGAGGTGTAACTGTGCTCTAAATGTTTAACAAAATATTTGAATGGCACATTTGGAGTAATCTAAATCCCAAATGCACTCCTAGTTTCCCTGGAGCTCCATCAGCCTTCCTTTACAAACACATTAAAGGGGCTGTAAAATAGGGAACCAGGGAAAGAGAGATCTTTTGTTTTGTTTTTACAGCGCTCACTGTTTTCCAAACTTTAACCAGGAAGGTTACTGTTCAGCAAAAGTAAAAACATTCCAGAGGCCTGCTTTAGTTTTTCTTTGCCTCAAATAGGCCCCTTCTGTTTCTCATTAGACATCACTCATGTCCGTTTGCCATAAACCAGAGCTGGAATAAATGTTACAACAGTCAGAAAGGGAGAGGACACAATGCAAATCCACAGCTCAATGTTGCCATATTCATGTGTTCCATGCTAAAACCAAATCATTATAAAGTTGACCTATCTGTGCAGGATTTAACCGCTGTTCTCTTTCTTTTCGGGGGGACATTTTTACATTTATTCCACTGCTTCGGTTACATTTTGAAGCATCAGTTGTGTAACTTTTTCGAAGTATTTACCCAGCATAATCAGAAAGAAAGAAGGTGATTGAGGCAGAATAAAAGTGGCGAGCTAAGGATTGTGAAAGTGCTGCTGGCAGAATGTCTTCCTGCTGAGTCTGGAGTTCATTAAGGAGTGTACAGTCGATCCAGAGGATTCAGGACAAGCTGAGGCAATGAGGTTAAATCCATGAGGTTACCGACTCTGCCAACAAAATGATAAACCTCTCATGCCAGAGAGAGAACATCTTGTCTGCTAGAGTTAAAGACTGTGTGCCGCCCATCACCTACAGAAGCACATACGCCCATGGTGAAAATGACCCATTATAATCCTCTCGGCGTGTGTGTAGAGGCAAACTTTGGTAGAGGGTAATGTAAACAACTCACAAAAGTGTCATTTGAGAAAGAAAAAAATGGACCAAAAGCACAGTTTCACTAACAAAATATGCTGTAATTCCTATAACGTATTTATGCAAATGAAATACCAGGCAAATATTAAATAATGGTACCAGAGAGCATTTCAACTTAAACATGACACAGCTTAATGTGAATATGAATAGACGTCCCTGCCTGCATGCTGCGTCACCATTTTAACGCAGGAACAGGAAGACAGGAAACTTCATGATGTCAAGGGAAGTGTGCTTCCTGTAGCGCCCTCTCCTTTTCCCTCTCTTATACTCTTCCGTCTTTTTTACAGGATGCAGGTGCTTGTGCCTTTTAAACTCGCCTGACTGTAAATTACAACACATGTACTGTCGATACAAACTCATGCCCCTTTTCACCAAATCAGCTCTGCTTCTTGAACCAATTCTCTAACCACATATGCAAAAAAAGCCCACATTTCCACCAGTTTTGAGAGGAATCATTGTAATTAAGGATGCATGATCAACATAGGGCGTCACACAAAGGAAGTCAAGGGCGTATCGTATTGATAACATGCAAGCCTTTTCTGTTATTAAGATAATAGTTTTTATCCTTAAACAAACATGGACCAAATATCCAATTCAACAATTTTGTCCTTTAAATTATCTTCTACTTGTTTTCTTTTTAGTTTTTTGTTAAGCAGATCGTAACTTGGTTTAGAAAGTTGTGTAAAATAAATGTATAATTATTATTTTGTATGTTATTCATTATGTGCAAGACTCATTCCTCTCTTTCCAAACCGCAGAATATAAAAACCCTACTGCGATTTGCATTTCAGGTCGACGAACACCTGCATTTTCTATCGGTTCTAGCTGGAAACCAACAAAATGGGGTTTAAACTTATTTATTTCTGGTCAAAATGCTCTAAACTGTTAAAAAATTAGGCAAGCAAACCAGACTGCAGCCTGTTCCATGATGGTGGAAAAAGGGGTATCAGTAACTTTGCTGTATGTGATGACAGACCTCAGCTATGAATAACAAGTCACGGTGCCCCCTTTGGGCTTAATGCCAACAAATGCAGACACACACATACACAGATGTTGTGCAATATTAATGCTCACAAACAACTTTACCGTGATTTCACTCACAAAGAATGTATACGGTTTGCTCAACAACAGTCCGGAGTAAAAACTGAGATACAGCTGTTGTGTTCTGCACGTGCTTGTACTGGGTGTATTTGGGTGATGGTTTAGTGATGACTTGAATTAGGAGAGCCGCTTTGAAGGCACTGAGCCAAACTGATCAGTGCGAGCAGGACAATCTGTACTGTGGCCGTAATGTGGCTTAAGCTTAAAAACCCCAGTAAATACACACAGATGTACTGAATTAATGACATAAGCTAATTTCACGGTTTTCAACTTCCTACATATACAACAGCTTTGAAAAGAGCTATTATGACTTATTATATCATATCTGTATCTGTGTGCAGGACTGCAGACAGAGGTTTCGAGCCGTGCTGGTGGAAGCTACAGTGAAGCTGGACGAGCAGGTGAAGAAGATCGGACGAGCCGTGGACGACTCCAAACCCTACTGGGAAGCCCGCAAAGTAGCAAGACAGGTAAACACACAGACACACATGTTCGCAGGAGAGAGCTGGAGTCACTGGGGTCGGCAGACAGTGAGTGTGAGGGCAGGATTAGTGAGGATTTGCGACGAGAAGTTTAAAGAGCTCTGTTTTTATCTAGTTAAAGGGAGCACAGTCACGTAATGCCTATTTTTAAACTCAGGCACACCTCTGTATCCAAGGCTAGTGTCTCACACACACACTTGGACTCAGTGTGGGGACAGGATTTGTCTGAGTTGCACTGAAACTGCTTGACTTGACATATTTTGCATAATCTTCCTTGGTTCCTTTGCTGCATCAAGATTTACAGGCCTTTGTGTTTTCATGCATGCTGCACTGTTGCAGGTACACGTTAAGTAAGGTGATACCAGTAGCAATATGTGATGCCCCCTCTTTGGTGGGTCATGTTCTTCACTTTGGAATTGCTCAAGCCCTCTGAGGCTCTGATCTGATTGGGCAGCACCACCCATTTAGTGTCCAGCGCACCCCTCTCCTCTTCCAATAAGAAGGAAGCTTATGAGTCATTCATCATCAGGCTGACATATGTGTCAGAGCTGAGGGGACAAACTGAAATAGACTGTGTAGCTGTGAAGGTTTTGAATTTTGATGGGACCTGCATTTACGTGAAAGGATCCAAAGCCTTAAAGCCTTCCCTATCTTTATGAATATGAATATGAATGTGTGTGTGTGTGTGTGTGTGTATGTGTGTGTAAATTGTGTGTAAAATAAACACAATTTATTTCGGTCTAGTATGGAGGCAGTTTAAACGTGCAATATGTTATTAAGCCTTCCGTATCTTTACAAATAGGTGTGTGTGTGTGTGTGTGTGTGTGTGTGTGTGTGTGTGTGTGTGTGTGTGTGTGTGTGTGTGTGTGTGTGTGTGTGTGTGTGTGTGTGTGTGTGTGTGTGTGACCAGGGGGATTATACAGAAAGCGAAGCCGCAGGAAGCCCCCGGGTTAAACTGGTTTATTGTCTGGTCATGATTTATGGATGAATATTTAATACATGACCTATTTCAAAGGGATTCAGATGCTTACCCCCACTGACCGTGCCCGAATAAATCCCCCCCCCCCCCCCCCACACACACCCACACACTACCTACCCCCACCCATAAACTAGTCCCAACCCCCCCATGTTTATCCCCCTACATTCCTACAGACTGGGGGGTGGTGTATAGGAATTTGCATCTAATGTCCCATCTATTGTCGTTTTACCCAGCATTCTCTGCTGCACCACTGCCTGCCTGCCTGCCTGCCTGCCTGCCTGTCTGTCTGTCTGTCTGTCTGTCTGTCCGGCTGTCTGTCTGTCTGTCTGTCTGTCAACCCTCTCTGCCTCCACCTCTTCACCCTCCACCTCTTCACCCTCCATCTCTCCCCTCCAGTTGTTTTTTTTATTTTAATTTAATTTTACCTTTATTTAACCAGGATAGGTCATAGGTCTTTTTCAAGAGAGTCCTGGCCCAAGAATGGTAACGGCACAGTTACAGACCATTTTAAAACACACAATTTTAAAACACACAATCACAACACAGTCATACACCAAGTTTAGCCAAAGCATTTACAGACTTTTCCACTAGGGGTAGTTCCGGCTCAGGGCTACTTTTTCACCTCTTTTCTGGCCCTCCAAAATCGAGGTTCTTACCGGGCCAACAACCGGGCTGAATATGCTAAACTAGTGACGTAAACACTCTCGACTGCTGAATGGTCAGAGAGAATCGCTGGCAAGGGGGCTACAACTACAACAAAATGAACATGTTACCGTGATTTAATTGTAATACACGTTTCAAAATGATGCCGAAGTAACAACATACTGATACCGGTCTGCAGACAAGACGGCAGTTGAAAAACCTTTTAAAATGCGTGTTTTCTGAATGGAGATCGGATCGATCAGGCTAAGCTAACGTTGTATATGCTCCGTCCACACTCACAACAACGGCCTACAGACATAAATAAACCGGCGACTGTATTCGCCATGACACAGACAGTCTGTGGTTTGTACTTGCTTAACTTTTGTCTAGTTTCTGAACAGATATGAGGAGCTGTGAGCTCTGAGAGCAGCGTAACTGAATGCCCTCTTCCCCAGTTCAGTACGGACTTTTGGTACAGTTAAAAGGAAAAAGTCCTCGGAGCGAAGCCGATAAGATCCTTTGCATTTTCACTTTATGTAGATCCTTAGATAAGGAGGAAGAGCACCAAGAATAGCCTTATATATAAGGATGTGCCAGTGTTTCAGTCGACGCGTGGTCAGGGAAGACCATCCAACACGAGCGTATAGGTTGCAGTGGTGCGTCAAGGTTGTGACCTTCAGGACAGGATGACAGCGTCTGTCTCCTGAATTAGAAATGACTTTTACACACACACACACACATACACACACACACACATACACACACACACACACATAAAGGGGTGTTATGATGCGTATACGAGGTGACAGCGTGTCATGGGATTTCAGCCCTAACCCATTGCATTGTTTGCCCGACAGGCAGTCAGATAAAGTGGGCTGCATGACATCAAGTTAATTAACTGATAACAATGCTCGTCACTTGCATGCCCCACCGAGCTCAGCAGGCCTTTGTGTCACTGAGATAACAGCAAACTGTGTCCTCCACCTTGGATGAATTGTGTCTCACTGGGGTGCTAAGATTTGGAATTTGTTCTGATTTTTGCACAAGTAAAGAAAGTCTCACATGGTCTCTGTGTTTAGTCCTCTTAGCTACTGACACACTACGAGTAAACAACGACCCGGCATAAAAAAGGAAAGGTGCTGCTGCTCTGTATAGAAAATCCTGTTAACGACGGGCACTTTTCTCTTAACTTGACAAAACGATTGATAAAGAGGCCGTATTATGCTTTTTGGGGATTTTCTCTTTCCTGTAGTCTGTGATATACTGTAGGTTTTTGTGCATGTAAATGGTATATTATTTATTATATATATGTATTATTCCTCTCTCATGGTATCCCCTCATCAAATATCCATCATCCTTCTGTTTTCCCTGCACTCCCTCTCATCCCCGAGCCTGGGAAATGGGTCATGACGTCGGACAAATTCAACCCAACAGATTATGTGCAAAAGGCCAATTATTATCTTCCTATTCCCTTCCTCTATCTCTATCCCCTCACCTCCTCCAAAGGGGCCTTTCCAACCCTGGAGAGGTTATCAAACCGCTGCAACACTCAAGATATCCCAACAAGACAAGACACAACTGGATTTTCAATTCGTGTGAGATCTTTGCAAACCTACGTCACTGTTGGAGTGTTTATCGTAAACATGGCCGACAGTGACATGGGGGTCATGTCACAGAGGTTAATGTAACAGAGGCAGGGAAAGCTGTGAGAAAAAAATTATAACAGCTGAGAAAACTACATCGACCTTTTGGGGTCTGTTATGATAAAGTTGTTTGTTGTGTTACTTGTAGTGACGAACACCCAACTATAAGAGCATTTTAGCCTGTTTGAGCTGAATGTTTAATTTGTATTCCCTGTGTCTTAATTGTCTTAGCTTCAGGATGCAACACATATCTATTTTAATGAAAAGCTCTGATGGACACTGTAATCTGCAGCCATTTTCTCATCTTGTTTCTCTGATAACTTCAAATCCAGACATCTGACATCTAAAGTCCTTCATCTGGTCTAAACATATTGTTAAAACAAGCCCACGTATAAAATCTGTAATGTTAAAATATGGTTCAAAGTGGATAAAAAGTCCAAAGGTTTGATAGCTTCTGCCAGACAACCACTAGACTGAAGCATGCTAAAAGGTAATACAACACCAAGGCAGGCAACCAAATGAAAAAGCTGTTACCTTGATTAAAATGACGGATTTCTCTGGATTATAAACATTGTTGGAAAACGTTTGGTATAATGTTACTCACCATATATTTAACATCGGTGTGATGGTTACAGCAACACATGTTACCGTGGTCGTTTGGGGAAGTTACTTCCTGGTTCAGCAAAAGGTGTGGCTGAGGGCTGAGGACTCATAAATCCAAACAGCCAATTGGGACAAATTGGGACAAACCACATGCTACCATGCCAAAGGGTGGATTTGGGTTTTGTCAGTGTCCGTTTGTATTTGTATGTTAATTACCCCTTGTTTTCTCTTTGGTTTGGCCGAGCCACTATGTATGTTACATTTTGCCTGGCAGGTTGGTTTGTTCAGTTAACACCAATTTAGTTGCTGAGTTTTTTTCTTGGGTTAATGGAAAACCCAGTTTCTTCAAACAACTCCTATATCCTGTTGGTCCCTAAACATAGGTCTCGTCGTTTTTTACATTTGATGCGTAAAAAGTTAAATTAAAAACTGATGATCGTCACATACAGTTATCTAATTTGTTGCCCATTGAAAGGACAGCGGCAAATCACGTCAAAGTTGAAGCAATATGAACTTGGAAAGCAATGCTCTGTGGTATTTTCCAGCATCACTTTCCCGTAGGAAAACACAGCACAGACCGCTTTGTTTTCCCACTGATCATGAGTGTGCAGCTGTAAGGACGGGAAATAGCGTTTTTTAACTATTTCTATAAACCATTTAATTGCAACTGGGGTCAAGTTCCTGTCGTGTATTGATTTCGGGAAAATGCATTTGTATTTCAAACAATGTCTGATAGAAACTGTGAAATGGTCTATAGTTTTACCTTCAATGGATGGCTTTATCGTACATTTAGAAATGAACATTTGGCTTTCACACTGCAAACAATTATTCATTCAAATCGCTCAAAGACAGGAACACAAATGAGACCAGCAAAGTTATTCCTCATTGTATTACACAATCAATGCAGAAAGACAAAACTGTGTAAACAGGGACATACTGGCTTACCGACCACGTCTTACAACTTATTAACCTTCAGTTTGAAGGGAAATGTGTCCCATTAAGCTGTCACACTTTACACAATGTACTCTAACCTCATAAAGCTTTTCAAGGTTCAGAGGAAGTCTGTGGGACCTCCTGATGTTGCAGAATTCATTTCTCACATGCAAGTAAAATGATATGCCAGAAAGCTTGGAGCAGAATTGTTCACAGATGTTTTGGAAACTTTCGTCGTACTATAAACCATTTGAGACCCTAAACTGAAAATCTGCATGATGGGTATGAGGACAACAATGGTCTTTTGTTTCTTCTGTTTGTGAATTATTCAGAGGTAGAGCCTTCCCAAAACAACGTCATCAAAATCAATATAAATTGTATGTATGTATGACAGCTTTCAGTCGGATTGGATACTGTTGCTTTGTCTTGAAACAAGTTCTTATGAAAGAAACATGAAGTCTAAATGTTCATGCCTTATCATATAATATAAGCACACATTGAATTTACAAATTACTCTAGATAATTAGATGTTCTTTAACTCATCCCTGTAAATCTGAAATAAGTCTCTCCAAGTGCTTTGTATTCAGCCAATGACCTTTAAGTCGAGCCAGTCTAAGTGGGTCTAAATATGTCCAGCATGATGGGAATAATCCTCCCATTGAATGTGACTGTGGGCAGCAGGAGCCCACTGAGTGTGTGTCAGTGTTTCGTAGTGACAAAGCTCCTGTTTGTCTTTTGGATCAAGGATCTCTCTGTGCGTATATATGTGCCATCTCTTCACTCCTCTATAGCAGTCATAAGCAACCATAGTTCCTTTAGAGGGAATTGATGACATTAGATACACACAGGAAACAGGACAAGGACTAATGCTGCACTCATATACCATGTGAGAACAAAGGCTATGACCACTTGCTGTTGGAAATTAGTGACAAATTGATCACACGATGCCATGATTTAAAGCTCTCTATCAGCTTTTTCATACTTTAATTATGACATCAGAATTAGAGAGGACATATTATGTTCATTTTCAGGTTCATATTTGTATTTTGTGCCTCTACTGTGACATGTTTACAAGTCCCCTATTATACTGTTTTTCATCAATATATTATAGGTCTCAGATATATACAAAACATGTCTCTGAAGTGTTTGGCTCGAAATACCAAACAGATCATTGCAGCATCCCATAATCCCCTCTGTTTCAGCCCTGTTTCAAAAGTGCTGATTCTCTGTCTGTTACTTTAGATGAAAATAAGGAGCCCCTCCCCACGCCCCTCTGAGAGATATTTGGTTACAAAGAACACAATGGTGCTCTAGGAGGAGATTCAGGTGATAAGGTGGGGGGGTTACCTTGGTTGTTTATTGGCTAATGGTTACAATAGCCAAAAAAATCGTTATGACATCATAAAGTGGCCAAAATCTGATCAGCTCATTTTCAGACAGGTTTTTATGTAAATGGTCAGGACAAAAAGTTCTGAAATGTCCCAGCAGGACATTTTAGCGGGACACTTCTGTCTACCTCCTATATGTATTACATCTGATCTCTCTCTCTGAACTCTAGGCCCAGGTTGAAGCACAGAAGGCCACTCAGGAGTTCCAGCGGGCGGTGGAGTTCCTGCGGGCCGCCAAGGAGACCATCGCCCTGGCCGAGGAGAGGCTGCTGGAGGAGGACAGCCGCCAGTTTGACTCCGCCTGGCAGGAAATGCTTAACCATGCCACACAGAGGGTACGAACATGATGCAAAGAATACTAAAAGGTTCCAGCCCAACTAGTAGTTTGTGGTCGAAGCTGAGGTTTAGACTGCTACTGATATAGAGATTTAAGAAAAAGTAGTCAATATAATTATACTGGAATTGTCCATTGTTTTCTTGGTTTCCAGTTGGGTTGGGAAATATGTCAACATTTTACACAGGCAGCCATCAGCCCAATGAACGGCATTTGCTGGAATACTTTTGTGCAAGCAAAGTCAATCATAGAAGGGCACATTGCACATAAGAATATCACAGATTTTTGTATTAAACTGAGCAAGACGTATGTCCCAATTAAAGCAATTTTGCGTCTTTGTAAGGGCATATACCTGTTGAATGATTCTAACACTATACATTTTCACGAGAATCTGTGAATACACCATCATAACCGTAAGAAATGACCATATAAATTGCCACTACAACAGCCCTGCTAAATCCAATTTGTCTGATTACCAAACCCTAGTTTCCACAGTTAAAATAAAAAACCTCTTTATTGTTTCAGGTGATGGGTGCCGAGCAGGAGAGAACGCGCAGTGAAGCTGAACACAAGAAAACAGCAGCCAATTACAGCTCCTGCATCACACACATGAAGCAGTTAGAGAAGAAGCTCAAACGCTCCATCAACAAATCCAGGTCTGTGCGTTATGTCTCCTCCTCTCTGAATGTCTCCTTGTCTTTTCCCCCTTAGCTTGGGCCTCGCTGAGTGTGTGTGATTCTCTGGGAGAAAACAGGGCTACGTTTATGTCATCTGATGCAGTCCAGATGTTTCATGCCTCGGTTGTGTTGGGTGTGCTCCGTGTGTCAGGGCCCAGGAATGTGACTGCTCACAGAGGAGTGTTATTCCTCCTCCAGTGACAGTTGGCACACTTTCTCTTTCTCAGTTTTTCGTCTTTTTCTCCCCCTGTAGGCCGTATTTTGAACTGAAAGCCAAGTATTATCTACAGCTTGAGGTATGTATGCATACAAATGTGAAGATACTTTGAGACAAATCTGTTTAAAGCGCTGTAGTTTATAATTGTTTGGCCATGATAATGTTTATCAGTTGATAAGTCACTTTGTCATCTGAGGATTAATTGCAATAACTTTTGTAAACTCTTAAATTTGACAGCTGTATTTTGTTCTCTGTTTATTATCAATGTATGCTAACATGCTAAACCATAAGACAAACATGGTCTGCCTACACATGTCCCAGTGGCTACAACTACTTTTATTGCACATTTTTACTTCAACTTCTTCCCGAAATATGAGAAAGTATTCTGATTCATTTTTCAGATATGTTCGGATTTTATATCAAAATATAAAAGTAATTTCAGCTGGTTACTTTCAGTTATTTTTGGATTGCCTGGATATCAAATACACTGCAAATAAATACAATAAATAATAATAATAATAAAGCTTTATTTGTATAGCAAACTTCTGAAAAGAAGAAACCATGATATTTAGTGTCTTGTGCTCAGAGATTTTATTTATAGGAAAACCTATGCATTATCCCTAACTGTGTAGTAGCCTAGTAAACTCTTTTCTCATGTGTTTACAGTACATTTTCAAGAAAGCATGTTACTTGAGAACCTGTTTTTTATTTAGCAATTCAAGGGTCATGTGGACGAGCGTCAGGCCAAACTTGTCGTTGCGAAATCCGACTACCGTGCAGCGCTACGCAGCCTGGAGAGCATCTCCGAGGAGATCCATGCCCAGCGACGCTCCCTCGCCATTGGAACCAGGGAGCAAGGTGTCGGCGCGGAGGTGGACGACGGCCACGAGGACATCGCCAACTTCAAGATGGAGTCGGACGGTCTGTCAAGTGAGTGTAGCTGTGGCCTGGAAATGAATAAGCATCCATGTCATCCATCCACATGTTTTGTTTGTCTGCATGCATGTTTAATGCTTCATATCTGTGTGTGTGTGTGTGTGTGTGTGTGTGTGTGTGTGTGTGTGTGTGTGTGTGTGTGTGTGTGTGTGTGTGTGTGTGTGTGTGTGTGTGTGTGTGTGTGTGTGTGTGTGTGTGTGTGTTTCAGTGGTGTCCGTATCAATCGAAGAAGAAGGCAGTCACAGTAGCAGCTCAGAGGAGGAGATCGGCGCTAACTCCCCCTCCTCACCCCGAGCTTCACCTTCTTCATCCTCCTCCCAACCCTCCACCTCCACCTCCACCCCCCTGGACGGGCCCTGCTCACACACATCCTCCCCACACAACGACCCCAGCTCCTTCCTCTCCTCCTCCACCTCCTCCCCCTCCTCCCCCTCTTCCTCCGTCCACTCCTCCTCCTGTCCCGACGGACTGGATTTGGCGAGCCCCTCTAGCTCGAATGACCCAGACTCGGCGTGGGGTTCTGGGCATGCCTCGCCTCTCCTGGGCCCCCGCAGCCAGTGCAGCGGAGCCTCCTCCCCAGACTGCGACCAGGAGAGAGGTGTGTGTTCATCGCATCAGTGTGTGTGACATGTGTGTTCACTTGTGATGCTTCATCCTATATGTTGAAATGTAGTGCATGCTAATGAGAGAGCTGTAGAGGTGTAACTTTTGACAGAGCTCAGTTGGCCAAGGATACTTTCTAAAAAACAAATTAAATGTCCTATGTATTGAAATGTTTATATGATGAATGAATGAAGATGTAGCAGCTGTTGTTGTTCAGTCACTCAGCACATTTTTAAGAACTATGAATTGAAAGGCACTTACAAGTGTTAGCCTGGGTTTATTTAGGGTGTGGTGCATCATTTCAAGGCCCAATATCAATATTGAACACCTTTAACTTGATGATTTCCAGGAAAGATTCACTCCAAAGTTTCTTCTGTTTAAGACAGCAAAGATAAAAGTGTATCATTGTTTATTTTAACATCCACGTGTTCACAATTACATACTCTTTGTTTGTGTGTGTGTTGCAGGTGAACGAGCAGAGGGAGCCGAGGCGACGCTAGAAGCCGGTTTGAACAAGTTAACTTTGACTGTAGCACAAAAACAAGAAGAAGGTGACACTGGAGAGGAACAGGACCCACATTTAATGAACCCGGAAATGTCCTCTCCCAGCTCTGTTCTGTTACTCAACAGTGTCTAACGTGTGTGTCACATTTCGAACACTCACTTGCAGCTTCAAGGCTCAAACTGGACTGTCGAGCAGAAGATGTGGAGACGGCAGGATAAAAATGCTCAATCCAAGCTAAAAAAACTGACAACATGGCTATTGTCTGATCTCATGGTGTCATGTTAAAAGTGCTAGTGTATTTTAACATCAGTGAATCATTGTCAAATCGATTTTGAACCTTAAACAAATGAGATCAGGGACAGGACAATTGGTCACTTTTGGTGTTAGTAGTGCTAGAATTCAAAATACTGCATTTCCCATAAACCTCATTGCTTTCTATTGCAAAGAGGTTGCATCGTATTGCCATTAAATTGATATTGTTAGCTCTGTTTCTATATAACAGAAGAACAAATCTATGTTGTGCCATATAGAAATGTGTGTTGTTCAACAGTATGGCAAATGTTCTTTCCTGTGGCATTTTAATGGATATTAATCGTCTCAATAATCATGTTGCAGTCTTCATCTTAATAGCTATGTGTCAGATAATGTGGGTAACATTTATCGATGTATATATACTACAGTTGGCACCACTAAAAGATGTCAACAGTGAGCCTGTGAGGATCGTAATGGGACAAAAAAGGTCTCAAATGTTGGATAATGTCTTTTTCTGCCTTGAGCTCCCTCTGTAGCTCCTAAATATCAAGTTAAAATGTAGGATGCAGAGACTATTGTGGAGAAATAGTTGTCGAGTAGGAACGTGGAGTACAGCAGTACTCTGAGCACTAAACTGAAGAGACTGAGCACAAATGGTCTTCCATTGGGACGTGTGAATGATTGAGTGAATGTATTGCTCACCCTCTGAGGTGGTGGCGATAGAGTGAATGATTTATTGAGTGTGTGTCTGTTGGGTTTTTTTTGTTGAGAAATGCTCAAATAGTACCCCCTAGTACAGATATTCTATATTTATACTCCTGTATTCTTGTATATGAACAGTGTTTTGTGGTAACTGTTGTTTTTGTTTAACAAAAAATAAGCAATAAAATGTTCTACATATAACTGATTATTTTATAATTTTCAGGTTTATTTTTATATTTTGAGCTTCTATTGTAACATGTCTCCATGCTTTAATGATCAAAAATATCTTTATTGTTCTCATTCTGCCTGTGCTGCCGCACCTCTTTTCACCCTCTGTCTGAAAGTAGAGCCCAGTCTGCTGTGATTGGTTAGCTGGTCGTCTGTGTTGTGAGTTGGAGGAATTTGGGATTTTAGACTTTGCAGACCATTTACATGGACAAAATCCTATATAACACACTACAGGAAAGGTTGTTAAAAGGTCATAACTCTAAATATTGGTCATTAAAACCTGTTTCGATTTTAAAGATACTATGAAATATCTCTTGAAGGGAAGATATGACATTTCCTGGTGTAAACTTAGACTTATTTTGGTCTGCGGTGTTCAGGGAACTCTTACGCAATAGCAGTGTTTACAGAAGTCTGAGTGCTCTCACACACAGCTGTTCTACCACAGTTGAGTGTGTCGCCTTACTTCTGCAGTAAAAGTGACCTTGCATTACATGTGGGAAATACAAATATTCACCTGTTTGATGAGAGAGAATAAAAATGAATCGTAATACCCAAATATTTGATGTTTTTCAGGAATGATTCTTTCTTCGTTGTTGCTTATTGACCATTTTCTAGCTTGAAGTTGCCAGGCAGGAATTGAATGGTCCCAGCAAATTGTAAGCGAATTTACAAAAATACCAAACTATTTGTTGTTATTTCTAAACTGAGAGATTTGTTACACCCACCACTTTTCGCTGAATCAGAATGACTGCAGCAGACCTAAACCTCTGAAATCTTACTGTATTAAAGAGGTGCGTTAAATGTCTAAAATGTCTAAAAGGCTCAAAATTAGTCCTCAAAGTATTCACCGAAAGACATGGTAAGGAGCACAAAATACAGATAATAAGTGCAACTATTCTTAGAATTTCGTTTTCTTCCGTTTCTTTTTCATTTTTTTCACCTACACGTTACTTCATATATAAACCTAGGATAATTATGAAAAAGTAACATGAAATTGCATTAAAATAAATGTATGTTAGAGGTAAATTATTGTTTGTTCATGCCATGTGTTAATGTAAAAAAGTGATAATGGCATTTATTTCTTACTTTCAATTATCAAGATCAATATCACCATTATGAATCCAGGGCCAGCTGGATATTCTTAATCATTTATACTCTTCCATTGTATCCCTTTATCAGTTAATTCAACCCTGTTTCCCTTTTATACTCAGTTAATGAAAAGTCATACAAAGCGATTATAAAAAATATCCGTTTCTGCTGACTATCCTATATATCGCTTCTTCCATTTTTCAGCTCTTACGTTAAACACACACTGCTGCTGTGTCATGTCTTCAGTTATATCCCTGAGACAGCACAGCTTATTTCACTCTGTAACTCTGCATGTCTGCACACGCTGCTGAAAGCATGCAGCCTTTTAATCATGCTGCATGTGTGATTTCCATATCAAGAGTAAAGCTCAATGAGGCAATAACTTGACAATGTGCTGTAAGATACTGACATCTAGTGCCAAGTTTGGGGTATGTGTATAAACTCCAGTTCCAAGATTTTTAGCAGTAGTTTCAATTAACTGGCAAATTGTGTTTTTCCAACTGAATAAGTTAAATACAGTATACAGTGTTGAAAGCTGAACACACACATTTAGAAGTACAGAAAGACAAAGAATTTGAATTTTATATTTGAATTGTATTTCAATCATTGTACAACACCAAAACATATTGCTGTTAAGGAGGAGCCCAAGTCTATTTTTGGGAGACAAAATAGTAGCAAAGCTAATAATTAAGGTTTAAATAAGGAATCCGTCTATTCTTGGATCTAAAAAGTTGCACAAGGAAAAACTCCACAAAACCCTTTAACAGGAAAAAAGTGGAGAAACCTCAGCCAACCGAGACGTCTCCAGAACGCATCGAGGTCTAGCAAAGATGGGAGTAAGATCTGGAAAATAGTGAGAGAAAGGGCAAAGAGTAAGATAGAAAGACAGGGACATGTACCGACAAACGTGACATTTCACTTTACTTTTGAAAAATAAAAAACACTTTGACATGTTGACCACCTGAGACACATCCGCCAACCATTTCTGTTTTCTTAGTAACCGACCTGTTAGAGAATAAGTAGTCGAAACAGGGGAAAACAAACCTTATTCTCCAATACTTATCATACTGTGTTAACGTCCGTGTGAGAGGAAATGGTCATTTGTGAGTCTTCTGGGTCTTCTTCCAAATTACATTACATGTCATTTAACTGACGCTTTTATCCAAAGCGACTTACAAACACTTCAATACCGTAGACATGCCTGCGGGAGCAATTTGTGCTAAAGTGTCTTGCTCAAGGACACATCGGCATGTGACCCAAAGTCACATCCGCATAGGACTTTCCGTTTTCTTAATGTCTTACCTGGTAGAGAATAGGTAAAGAAACAGAAGAAAACAAACCCTATTCTCCAAAACTTACTATGTGCAAACGTTGGCACATTATAAATTCCCTGTCTCACATTTTGTGAGTAGAGATGGTCACGTCTCAAGAATGCAACATCCGCCAATGATTTCTGTTTTCTGAATGAACTATCTGCCAGAGAATAGGTAGAGAAACAGAAGAAAACTCAAATATATATATTACATTACAAACACTTCAATACCGTAGACATGCCTACGGGAGCAATTTGTGCTAAAGTGTCTTGCTCAAGGACACATCGGCATGTGACCGAAAGTCACATCCGCATAGGACTTTCCCGTTTTCTTAATGTCTTACCTGGTAGAGAATAGGTAAAGAAACAGAAGAAAACAAACCCTATTCTCCAAAACTTACTATGTGCAAACGTTGGCACATTATAAATTCCCTGTCTCACATTTTGTGAGTAGAGATGGTCACGTCTCAAGAATGCAACATCCGCCAATGATTTCTGTTTTCTGAATGAACTATCTGCCAGAGAATAGGTAGAGAAACAGAAGAAAACTCAAATATATATATTACATTACAAACACTTCAATACCGTAGACATGCCTACGGGAGCAATTTGTGCTAAAGTGTCTTGCTCAAGGACACATCGGCATGTGACCCAAAGTCACATCCGCATAGGACTTTCCCGTTTTCTTAATGTCTTACCTGGTAGAGAATAGGTAAAGAAACAGAAGAAAACAAACCCTATTCTCCAAAACTTACTATGTGCAAACGTTGGCACATTATAAATTCCCTGTCTCACATTTTGTGAGTAGAGATGGTCACGTCTCAAGAATGCAACATCCGCCAATGATTTCTGTTTTCTGAATGAACTATCTGCCAGAGAATAGGTAGAGAAACAGAAGAAAACTCAAATATATATATATTACATTACAAACACTTCAATACCGTAGACATGCCTACGGGAGCAATTTGTGCTAAAGTGTCTTGCTCAAGGACACATCGGCATGTGACCCAAAGTCACATCCGCATAGGACTTTCCCGTTTTCTTAATGTCTTACCTGGTAGAGAATAGGTAAAGAAACAGAAGAAAACAAACCCTATTCTCCAAAACTTACTATGTGCAAACGTTGGCACATTATAAATTCCCTGTCTCACATTTTGTGAGTAGAGATGGTCACGTCTCAAGAATGCAACATCCGCCAATGATTTCTGTTTTCTGAATGAACTATCTGCCAGAGAATAGGTAGAGAAACAGAAGAAAACTCAAATATATATATTACATTACAAACACTTCAATACCGTAGACATGCCTACGGGAGCAATTTGTGCTAAAGTGTCTTGCTCAAGGACACATCGGCATGTGACCCAAAGTCACATCCGCATAGGACTTTCCCGTTTTCTTAATGTCTTACCTGGTAGAGAATAGGTAAAGAAACAGAAGAAAACAAACCCTATTCTCCAAAACTTACTATGTGCAAACGTTGGCACATTATAAATTCCCTGTCTCACATTTTGTGAGTAGAGATGGTCACGTCTCAAGAATGCAACATCCGCCAATGATTTCTGTTTTCTGAATGAACTATCTGCCAGAGAATAGGTAGAGAAACAGAAGAAAACTCAAATATATATATTACATTACAAACACTTCAATACCGTAGACATGCCTACGGGAGCAATTTGTGCTAAAGTGTCTTGCTCAAGGACACATCGGCATGTGACCCAAAGTCACATCCGCATAGGACTTTCCCGTTTTCTTAATGTCTTACCTGGTAGAGAATAGGTAAAGAAACAGAAGAAAACAAACCCTATTCTCCAAAACTTACTATGTGCAAACGTTGGCACATTATAAATTCCCTGTCTCACATTTTGTGAGTAGAGATGGTCACGTCTCAAGAATGCAACATCCGCCAATGATTTCTGTTTTCTGAATGAACTATCTGCCAGAGAATAGGTAGAGAAACAGAAGAAAACTCAAATATATATATTACATTACAAACACTTCAATACCGTAGACATGCCTACGGGAGCAATTTGTGCTAAAGTGTCTTGCTCAAGGACACATCGGCATGTGACCCAAAGTCACATCCGCATAGGACTTTCCCGTTTTCTTAATGTCTTACCTGGTAGAGAATAGGTAAAGAAACAGAAGAAAACAAACCCTATTCTCCAAAACTTACTATGTGCAAACGTTGGCACATTATAAATTCCCTGTCTCACATTTTGTGAGTAGAGATGGTCACGTCTCAAGAATGCAACATCCGCCAATGATTTCTGTTTTCTGAATGAACTATCTGCCAGAGAATAGGTAGAGAAACAGAAGAAAACTCAAATATATATATTACATTACAAACACTTCAATACCGTAGACATGCCTACGGGAGCAATTTGTGCTAAAGTGTCTTGCTCAAGGACACATCGGCATGTGACCCAAAGTCACATCCGCATAGGACTTTCCCGTTTTCTTAATGTCTTACCTGGTAGAGAATAGGTAAAGAAACAGAAGAAAACAAACCCTATTCTCCAAAACTTACTATGTGCAAACGTTGGCACATTATAAATTCCCTGTCTCACATTTTGTGAGTA